ACCTAGGCTTTGGAACTCATTACCTACTAAAACTAAAATTAATTTACTTAATAATTCTTTAGATAAATCTAAACTTATGTTAAACACACTTTTTACTGATTACTTTGTAAATAACTTTGATTCTTCTTTAATTTGTTCGTTTCATTTTTGTTGTCCTTGTTTCAATTGTGTCTAAATGTTTTTCTGTTCATGTATTTATTTATGTTCTAGCATTATTATTTACTATGTAATTTTAGGTGGCCAGTCTTGTTACTGTGTTTGCCTTCGATACATCTCTTTTTTTGTTTCTTTTCTTTTTGTCACATTTTATAGTATGTATTGTAAAGTTTATTAATAATAATAATAATAATAATAATATATAGCCTTGGGTATTTTTCAGAATTTTGATGTTTTCTTAAAATGGCCGTAACTCGAAAAATATTTGTCGGAATCAGCTCAAACTTGCTACACAGCATAAGGGCATCAATATGTATCAAAAAATGTAATAAAAATTGGGGGTGATTTCGGAGCCATTTTTTGGAAAAAAACTATGGACTATATATAGCCTTGGGTATTTTTCAGAATTTTGACGTTTTCTTAAAACGGCTGCAACTCGAAAAATATTTGTCGGAATCAGCTCAAACTTGCTACACAGCATAAGGACATCAATATCTATCAGAAAATGTAATAAAAATTTGGGGTCATTTCGGAGCCATTTTTTGGAAAAAACCATGGGCTATAGCCTTGGGTATTTTTCAGAATTTTGACGTTTTCTTAAAATGGCCGTAACTCGAAAAATATTTGTTGAAATCAGCTCAAACTTGCTACACAGCATAAAGACATCAATATGTATCAGAAAATGTAATAAAAATTTGGGGTGATTTCGGAGCCATTTTTTGGAAAAAAACCATGGGCTATAGCCTTGGGTATTTTTCAGAATTTTGGCATTTTCTTAAAATGGCCGTAACTTGAAAATTTTTTGTTGGAATCAGCTCAAACTTGCTACACAGCATAAGGGCATCAATACGTATCAGAAAATGTAATAAAAATTTGGGGTGATTTCAGAGCCATTTCTTGGAAAAAACCATGGGCTATAGCCTTGGGTACTTTTCAGAATTTTGGTGTTTTCTCAAAATGGCCGTAACTCGAAAAATATTTGTCGGAATCAACTCAAACTTACTATACAGCATAAGTACATCAATATGTATCAGAAAATGTAATAAAAATTTGGGGTGATTTTGAAGCCATTTTTTGGAAAAAACCATGGGCTATAATAGCCTTGGGTATTTTTCAATAATTGTCTCATTTTTAAAAATGCTTATAACTGCAGAGTTACTTGATAAAATGAGCTCAAACTTGCTATGCATAAGGATATTAAATTAATGTATGCAATAAAATTTTGGGGTGATTTTGAAGCACAAATTAAGATGCAAAATAAATCCAAAACACCTTAGAGCCTCAGTCTCAAGACTGACTAAGCCCCTCCCACTCTTAATCTCCTCTATCTCTTCCATCGTCCTCTTAGAAGTAGCTGCAAAATGACTTTTATTAACCTCCTGACGTATCAACTGAGTCTGTACAATAGGGTAACTACATGTACAAAAGAGAGAGTTTTCATTAAAATTACTTTTCAGTCATGTGATAGTCATGTGATTACATTGTTTGGAGTCGTTTGAGTTGCTCTGATTGCTTGTCGTACTCCTGTTTGGTAAGATATTGGGACAACTCCTCTTCATCTTTTAAACCAAAGTCAGCCGTGTCAGAGAGATCAGTCATTTTAGACATACCCTAAAAGAGAGAAATAAAATCTTACATTTAAAAAAATTGCAGTATATTTGTGACATTTCATCAGTAAATTTTGCAGATTTCACAATTTTTTGAAGATTCGCAAAAAATTACTTCCACAACAATTAAATTATTATGGTAAAAGAGTGGCAGTACTATGGCATAAATTCGCAAAAATTAAATCTGCAAAATAGATTTTAAGGCAAATTCGCAAAATTTACAGCCCTCAAAATTTTGCTATCACTAACTGGTAAGAATTGCTTTTTAGCAAAGTCAGTCAAACACTTCATGAATTCTTCTTCTGCTTTGTAATAAGGTTCGAGTGACGTGCAGGATAATAAAGAACATGAGGATCCTTCTCTCTCTCCCTCTCTCTTCCTCTCTCTCGTTTGAGGGCTGGTCTGGTTGCTATAGAGACCGATGAGTCTATTCATGGAGGCCTTGAGATTAGAAAGTGATTGAATGAACTAGGAAAAGAAGAAAGAAATTTATATGGAGGCTAGTGTAGTTATCTTTATTTTACTTTTGTGTTTGCTTCTTCTGATTTAAGTGCTGCTTCTTGGTGCTCATTTTGAAGCAATTTCAAATCATTTCCAGCTGCTTCGAGCTCTCTTAAACACTTCTCATTCTGCAAACTAAAATATAATAATAATAATAATAATAATAATAATAATAATAATAATAATAATAATAATAATAAATCAACTACTTTTACTACCTCATTAGTCTGTGAATATGATTCAGTGTCTGTAATTGTTCTTTAAGTGATTGTGCTCTCTCTTCCAATTCCTTAGCCTCTAGTCTATAAATAGTAACGACTAGTCACATGATTAGCCACACCTACTCACTCGTATTTCTCTTGGTTCTTTAACTTGGCGTCTTGACGTTTCCTAAGGACTTTCCTGAAATCCTCCCTCTACAATAGAAATATAGCTACTGGTATACAAATTTGAATTCTTTGATCACTTACAGATAGTTCTTTATTAAGTCTTACTAATTCTTCAAAACTTTTAAAATAAACATATATATAAATTTAAATTTTTAATAAAATAATGATTACTTTTCCTTTGCTTCTCCAGTTAAAGCCTCGCATGATTTCAGTTCTTGAGTTATTAATTTTATAAATGATTCTATTCTTTTATTGACAGCTGCTGCTCCAAGGGACGGGAGAGCTCCTTTGTATCCTAAACGAGACAGGATTGACTTGAAATCAGAATCCATTTTTGTGTCAATTTCAAAGCCACACCTCTCTTTCTGCACTGCATGCATCTGCATGAGTTCCAAAGCAAATGTGACCATAATTGACAAAAGGTACCTTATGGCGGATAGAAAAATTGGTCTTTATAGCCTAAAAAATCCCACTTCCTGAGCTCCATTTATCATAAAAATACTCCAAAGGATGCAAAAAGTTACTATGTAACTTTTAGAAACAATGGTTGAGTAACAGAGCACTCACAGGTTGATATTTTTTATTGTAATGATGATTTTAAAAATCTGCCATAAGGTACCTTTTGTCAATTATGGTCACAAATCATTAAAATTAGACTTTACATTTTTGTGTGGTCGACTGGTGACAAATAGATGAAAATTATTTTTCTTCCAATCATGTAGTGATCATAAAATTATGTCAGTTTTGTAATTTGAAAAGCTATCACCGTTTGAACATGTATTTAGTGTTTACTTATCGTAGGGGTTGCATGGGCACAAGACTATGATGTTTACTTGAAATCGATGTAGTATTCTCATGATAGCGTAGCCTTTTCAAGGTAAATTAAAACATGCATTCAGTGGTTGCATAATATTGCTTTGTCGTACTAATCCTCGTGATAATAATTAGCTTTTCTGCCTTTTCATGGTGTAAGAAAACATGCATCAGAACAATGTATGACTAACTGTATAAAAAACTAACTAACTATAAATTGCAGAAAGTAAGTTGCAGGCAAAGAGTTGCTGTTCCTTCTGGCTCCTCTCTTGAAGTCTCTTCATAATGTCTGATGTTCAATATAGTAGAAGGAGATGTTCCTCTTGTCCTTTCTTGTATCGTTTCCAGTTCATACACTCCAAGGGAGCACTGCTGGTACTATTCTGGGATCTGATGATTACAATTTGTGAATGTTTATTCATATTTATTGCTTCTTCCTCTGTTGCACTTGGGGGTTTCTATTTTTATATAGCGTTTGGAGTCTCCCTTATTTCATTTCTTGCTGGATATTTTGGAGATTTTGTAGTAAGCAGATATAAAGTTGTTCTCGTTGGATCATATATTGCATTCTTTTTATTAATTCCTTTTATAATTATTTACTTGCTTCTACCATCACATACATACCTACTGTTGGTGCTATATACATTATCATTGATTGTTATTGCTACTGCTCGTGTTAATTTGTTACCATTCAATATTGATCAGCTCATTGGATCATCAAGTAATGAACTGACTGCTGTACTACACTGGCATAATCTTGGATCTGTTATTGGTTTTGGAATTAATTTATTCAATCTTAAAATACTTCTCTTACTAGGTAGTATTGTCTGTGTTTCTGCAGTGCTGGTCAGTCATAGTCTCTTCAATTATTATCTTGAGACTACTCCAGTGAATAGAGTTAATCCGGTCAAACTGATAGTTAGAGTATTGTGTTATGCCAGGAAGCACAAGTATCCTCAGAATCGTAGTGCTCTGACCTACTGGGAGGAAGAGGCTCCTTCAAGACTAGACCTGGGTAAGGATAAATATGGTGGACCATTCACAGAGGAAGAGGTAGAAGATGTGAAGACTATTCTTAGATTAGTTCCACTGGTAATCATCGTTGCTTTGGCATCTGCATTGCTTGCAGAATATACAGCAGGACCAAGGTTTGATATATATGGGTGCATTGGTTTAGATGTTCTTGAATCATCACTCTTGGTATCATATATTTTTATCATTTTTCTTCATCAGTTTCTCATATATCCATGTTTCCATAAATACATTCCCAGTATGTTAAAAAGAATAGGAATGGGTCTGGTACTAATATTTGTTATTAATATCCTTTACACTGGTTTAGCAGTCATTGGTAGATATCAATTTGGACAAATGTTTCACTGTTTTACTGTTTATGATAATAATTCATCCATTACTCTTGTTAATCACCAATGGATTATCTTGAGTAATGTTTCTGATGCAGTTGTTTGGTACATCTTTAATGTTGTAATGGTTGAATTTATGCTAGCTCAGTGTCCTAAATTAATGAGAGGAACTATGATTGGATTATGGTTCTGCCTCTGGAATTTAAGAACCTTCATTCAATATTTTCTATTTTATCCATTTTTTCATTACATTGGTCCAGAGGTTCTATTGGGTCGCAGATTCTTCTTTCTTCTTACTGTGACCATTGTATCTTTGTTACTTTTACTTATTTACATATTTCTTGCTAAAAGGTACAAGTTACGTGTGAGAGAGGTTGAAATTAACATTCATCAAATTGCTGAGAACCACACCATTAATGATGTTGAAAGAGAAGAGCATTGGAGGAGGAATGCCATAGACTCATCAAGTCAATCAATTGATACCACAATACCAGAATATTGATTGCTCATTATACAGACTTGCTATTATAGCTATGTAGCTCAGTTGTTGTCAATTAATTTTATAATTCTAAAAGTTGTTAATTAAGTGCAAATATTGATTACTGTAATCGCACTAGCTGTTACACCTCATTATAATGATGACAGTTCATTTTTAAGTTATTAAACTTCATTTTTAATTTTTATCAATAATTGTCTCATTTTTTTAAAATGGCCACAACTACAGAATTACTTGTTCAAATGAGCTCAAACTTGCTATGCATAAGTATATGAAATTAATATATGGTATAATAAAATTTTGAGGTGATTACAAATTAAGGTACAAAATAAATCCAAAACACCTCAGAGCCTCAGTCTCAAGACTGACCAAGCCCCTCCCACTCTTAATCTCCTCTATCTCTTCCGTCATCCTCTTAGAAGCAGCTGCAAAATGACTTTTATTAACCTCCTGACGTATCAACTGAGTCTGTAGTCTGTACAATAGGGTAACTACATGTACAAAAGAAAGAGAGAGTTTTCATAAAAATTAATTTTCAGTCATGTGACAGTCATGTGATTACATTGTTTGCAGTCGTTTGAGTTGCTCTGATTGTTTATCGTACTCCTGTTTGGTAAGATATTGGGACAACTCCTCTTCATCTTTTAAACCAAAGTCAGCCGTGTCAGAGAGATCAGTCATTTTAGACATACCCTAAAAGAGAGAAATAGAATCTTTATATTTAAAAAATTGTAGTACAAGTGTTTATGAACAGGATATAGTATATAGCATGTGTTTAGAGCACAGCATGATTAAGGCTCTCTTGTAGCAGTGTAGATGTATATTAGTCTTTAGTCTCTATTGTATTTATTTTATGTATAGGAGCTACATTGTATTGGTAGTAATATATAAATAATATTAAAAAATATAAAAAATATAAATAAACATAAATATAAAAAAATATAATAAATATAAAGTAGTCATTTTAATTGCGGGTACTAAATTTTGCGATTTTAGCACAAGGTAGATTTTGCTGGTATTCAAAATTGCGATTAAGTAATTATTACTAATAGTTATATGGCATCATGATGTCATTATTAATAATTGCGTGTATTAATAATTGCGATTTTTAACCCAAACGCAAAATTCGCAATTAATAGTACCCGCATTTAAAAGTAACCTTAAGGTACCCCACAAGTCATTCCCTCCCTCTCTCTCTCTCCTCATTGATATCACTGACTGGTAAGAATTGCTTTTTAGCAAAGTCAGTCAAACACTTCATGAATTCTTCTTCTGCTTTGTAATAAGGTTCGAGTGACGTGCAGGATAATAAAGAACATGAGGGACCCTCTCTCTCTCCCTCTCTCTTCCTCTCTCTTGTTTGAGGGCTGGTCTGGTTGCTATAGAGACCGATGAGTCTATTCATGGAGGCCTTGAGATTAGTAAGTGACTGAATGAACTAGAAAAAGAAGAAAGAAATTTATATGGAGGCTAGTGTAGTCCTTTTTATTTTACTTTTGTGCTTGCTTCTTCTGATTTTAGTGCTGCTTCTTGGTGTTCATTTTGAAGTAATTTCAAATCATTTCCAGCTGCTTCGAACTCCCTTAAACACTTCTCATTCTGAATGCTACAATAATAATAATAATAATAATAATAATAATAATAATAATAATAATAATAATAATAATAATAATAATAGTAATAATAGCAAGAGTAGATAATAAAGGAGAGTGTCCTACTGTGCCTATACCCCCTGCTTCATCACGGCATAGAATTGAAGAGTCACATTCAGGATATTTCCGTATTTTCATTGAGTTTGAGTAGTTATTGCTAGTTATTTTTGAATAACTACTCAAGAATACTAAAAATAACCGGAATGTGACTCTTCAATTCTACGCGGTGATGAAGCAGACCTTATAGCCAGTAGGACACTCTCCTCTAATTATTATCTACTCTTGATAATAGTAATAATAATAATAATAATAGTAATAATAATAAATCAACTATTTTTACTACCTCATTAATCTATGAATATGATTAAGTGTTTGTAATTGTTCTTTAAGTGATTGTGCTCTCTCTTCCAATTCCTTAGCCTCCAGTCTATAAATAGTAACGACTAGTCACATGATTAGCCACACCCACTCACTCATATTTCTCTTGGTTCTTTAACTTGGCGTCTTGACGTTTCCTAAGGACTTTCCTAAAATCCTCCCTCTACAATTAAAAATATAGCTACTGGTACACGAATTTAATTTTTTGATCACTTACAGATAGCTCTTTATTAAGTCTTACTAATTCTTCAAAACTTTCAAAATAAACATAAATTTAAAATTTAAATTAATTATAACTTACTTTTCCTTTGCTTCTCCAGTTAAAGCCTCGCATGATTTCAGTTCTTGAGTTATTAATTTCATAAATGATTCTATTCTTTTATTGGCAGCTGCTCCAAGAGACGGAAGGGCTCCTTTGCATCCTAAACGAGACAGGACCTCTTCGAAATCAGCCTCCATGTTTTCAAAACCACGCCTTTCAATTCAGTTTTCATGAAAAATTACACTGATTATGATCAAAATTAGTTAAATTACAAATAGTAGGTAGAATTACATGTTAAATTATAAGTAATTTATGCAACTATGAACTATCACTGCTTTGGGAGGAAAATTTGAAGCGGGTACATACCACAGAATATTCTTGAGGATG